ATACACATTTTTTCAGTCAGTATTTAAAACAGCTGGCAAAATAAATTGTTAAAATATGTATTACGTGCTTCTGTTTTTTAATTCAGGAGATTTAAAAAAATCCTTCATTTTATGGGAAGCCCCTCTTGATTCAAGAGAAAACTCAGTTTTTTTAAATGGCTGCTTATTAATTAATTATTAATCAATCCATAAGATAAATCAACTTCAGATTAATTCATTATCAATAACTTGCATCCTTAAGGAGTTAACTTAATTTGYATCTACTCATATTCATGTAATTAAGCGTTTTGATGATTTGGCCGATTAATCGAAAAAAAAAAATCAACTGATTTATCGATTATTAAAATATTTAGTTGCAGCCCTAATATATACTATCTGATTGGCCACCCCAGTTGATTGACTAGCTAGGCCTACATGTGGCATAACCGTGAACAGTTAAAATATATAAGTACACAGTTTTTGATCTTGTTTTTGTCACAAATGTTTTATAACGTGCAATTCTTTATGAATTTGTAAGTCACTAAAAGGGGAATTGGAGAAGATAACTGGGACAAGAATCTCTGAAACTTAACACGTGTTTCTTTATTTTAAATCTAATTGACCTAAACTGATTTATAGTGATGCACGCTTCCTCATTTTGCACAGCAGTGCTTGTAAATGGAGAGGCTTATTTATTTTGACTAATGTGATAAAAGGATGCAAATCAGATGTCTTGTCGATGTTTCATGTGACTAACTAATCTTTGTCCTAAGTTTTTCTACATTGGCACGAGGAAGTCCTCTAAAGTTTTCCTTTAGGGGCTGCAGAGCTCCAGGGATCCCTTGTTTGCTTCTGGCTTGGGCCCCATAATGTGAGGTATTACCTCCCTCTGCTGGACTTTATTTACAGCAGTGAAAACCAAGATGATGTTGGAAACTGTAAAATCACCCAMTCTCTGTTAAACCTTTTAAGTAATCCACATGTCTTCCCAACAGACATCACCACAACCCTAAATAGTAAATATATGGATGTTTATTTGATGCATTTTTTAAAACCTGCAGTGCAGCCTTTTCTTTAAAGCACATTTGTACTGATGATTTTTTTTATTAACAAAACCAGACTCCAGTTTTTATTTAGCTGCTTATATAGGAGAAATCTTTCTCTGTGTGTCAGTGTGTGTGTTCTCAGTAATCTGAACCTTTCAGCTGGCAGCTGTGCTTTCTCCCTGAATAAATGACATTGGGAGAAGCTGATGCCTTCAGTGCTCTTTCACCAGCTCGTAAGGGCACTTGAGGCAACTCACTCATAAAAACAACTAAGCGATAGATTAAAACAGTAAAAGCTACATCTCATTTTAAATCAGGTTAAATGAGTCACAGGTTTGTGTCAGAGTGAAGTGCTGAGAAACATGGCCTATGCAGGGTGCCTGCTGTACCYTGCTGGGATTATTGAAGGACAAAGTCAAGGTTGGTCACAGAGACACGACAGGCCGCTTGGCTGAAGTCATGCGTCAGCTGTTCTTGATGCAGAGCATGCAGACAAAGGTGTTTCTATGTAGGTCTGTGTGAAGAGAGAGACAGGCAGGCAGGCAGCACGGAGGAGGTGAGATGGTAAAATATCTGCAGTGCTGCAAACTTTACTATGAAAAAAAATATTACACTAAACTTGTAAGCAAMATTTCTAGATATGGTAATTAAGTAGGTATCTTCATTGTTTTGTTTTTTAAAGAGTTTATTTGGCAAAAAATAAAATAAAAAAGATCAATTCCTAAACTGGATAGTAATTTATAACAGCTGTAAAATACACAGAAGTTGCACTTTAAAAATGCATAAAATTGGCTTTTTGACTCTAAAATTTAAGATGTTCAAGAAAAATTACATAATAATACCCTGGAAGTCTTTTTCCCCCATCAGAAAGAAAACTATCTAAAACAATGTAGAAAACAACAAAGTCACAACCTAAATAACCAAATCAGACTAAATTAATGGTAAATTGCAATTTCTGTGAAAACGCTAAGTGCTAAATCACCTTGCTGATATCTGTTGAAGCTGAAACTGAGGTGTTAAATCTAAGAGAAGCAGAAAGAGCTAAAAGAGGCACCACCTAAAAGCTTTATCAGGCAAGGTGAAAACATCTAAAATCTAGCTAAAATCTAAGGTAAAAGTAGCAGAAGACAAAAAACAAGCAAAAAAAAAAACAGCAATAGGGGAATATTTGAAATTAAACACTTAAAATAACAAATAAAAAATTAGTATATAGAACAAAACAGCCAAACCTAATATAGAAGCAGGAACGTCAACATCATTTCAGCTGAGGGAGTTAAGGAGTAAACACAAAGCACGTGTCATGATTAGCCAAGCAGCAACAGCTGTGAGAGGAGAGCAAAAACACTCAAATCAAGGACCAAAATGATTGTAACATGAAAACAATTCAAGCTGTCGTTAGTTTCAGTTTTTCTGCAATATATTTAACTTTGCTGTCACTTGGGTGTGTGTTATAAGTGTGGTTACAAACAGTGCAGGTTTAGGAAAGAAAATATGAAGAGGCTGCATTAGCATTATGGTTAATGAGAGGAACACCAAATTATCTTATTGCTTTAATATTATGACAAACCTAATGAATAAGTGTTAATGGAAGCTTACATGAGTCATTATAAACATTCTGACCACCACAGGCTGACCAACAATAAAAAAAAGCTCCTGAATCTTTTTTATTTTCTTTTGGTCTTTTCTCTATTTGTTGCACACAGCCAGTGCTTTCGTGAAATTGTTTCCAGCAATTGTGCTAAAGTAAAGGGAAGTTGGGGGAAAAGTGGTAAATTAAGCTTAATCATATATTCGGTGCCTGTAACGAAGATTAAAGATATCAAAAGTGGGAGGAGGGGGGTTAAAACGTTGTGGTTTTTCAAAACAAAAAGATGTTTTTTTTCCTCCCAAACTTTCAAACAGCCCAACACGGYCTCACGCTTGTTTTCCTAATCTCAGAAAAGCCCTTCCAACACATGGGAGCAGAGGTTCAGCACAGAGAAGACAATCCTGCAGCTAATGCTTGGTTCATCTAACATCTTAGCACTCACTCTGGCTCTGTTTGAATATAAGCTGCTGGGAAGATTAGAATATTGATGCTTTGTGCATGAAGCCATTTGCAAGTAGTGTCAGAGCTCRGGTCAAGATTAACACTTGTGTTCTGAAATCTTTGGAACATCGTGACAAGGAACTGTTGGAAGCTAACGGAAATAGAAAAAAGACTCAAACGAGACTATTCCCCTGAGTCCTGTGTTGTATTTTGTGGCCAAATTTATTTATTTATTTCTATTTTTAAGGGTATAACTTGCAATTTTTCAAAGCATGAGTGTGGTTTTCACAGCATTTGTAATGACAGTTTTTTTTTTACAGATCCACATTATCACGCTTGGTTAACTTCACAAAAATATTTAAAAAAAAGTCCACATGTAAGTAAAACTGAGCTGCTGACATTGTTTGAAAGCCGGTTATAAAAGGAAACAGGAGGTTTAACTATTCTTAGAACATGATCGTGAGCTTTTGACATTCATGAAGGCTTTAGTTGTGCATTGTGCTCATCTGCTGTGCATTTATGACTTGGACAACTGTCTCTCTCTGGCTCCAACATCTGAATAATTTTATTTGCTTTTCTTTCTCCAGTTTAATCCAAACGCAGCTGAGCTGGTTTGGTCTATGTTCATTTTAGTGAAAATTGGAAGTTGTATATCATTTTATATAAATTTAAATGATGGAAATGATTGATATTTTTTAAAAATTTACACAATACCATTAAGTGAATGCTCACGCAGGATAATTATACCCCACCGTGACATGGTGTCACTGCTTCAGGGAGGTGGGATTCCATATCTGGTCTCCTGCCAGCACATTCTTCAAAGCAAAGGTTATGTATCTGCTGCCTGCTCACCACCCCCCTCATATAAAAGGCCATCCATTGTCTGCGGGCAGCTGCTGTTCAACTCCTTCCACCTCCGCAGACATCCTTTTTCAGGTAAAATTGATTTGTGGTGTGTTTAAAAAGTAGGTTTCAGTGCAGAGTTTCAAGTTTAAAATGACCCTCTTTGTGTTCTGGTTTTAGCGGCATGGTGAACTATTGCAGATATTTATCTTATATTTCTGATCCAATGATGAAAAACTACTTTTATTACTTCCTGGAATTTTTAATTAACGTATCCATTTTGGAATGTCATTCTAAAATGTCATTATCATGCACTTCTTCCCTCAGGTGTTTGATTTTGTGAATACAGTTTGAGTGAGGTAACAATTCTACTTGTATTTTCATGTATTTAATATATTTTCTATGTTTTTGGCCTTATGTGTCCCTCTTTGCTGTTTCAGGAGCTCCACACACACGCAGCCATGAATCCCAAGGGGGATAAGGTGAGCCAGTTATGTTCCGCTGTGTTAATCCTCCATGCTCGGACAGAGGACACATTGTCCTCACAGACATGGCAATGATGTGGCCGTGTTATCTGTCAAAGCTGCTATCAGCAYTGTTGAGAGCTTTCCACTTGACTTCATCCTATTAATAAAGCCTTATCTTTTTTATATGTGGCTGCTGGAAGTGGAAACAAGTCAGCCACTTCATTGCTAAATGCACTTTTACTTTGCATTAAACAACTTATAGAGTCATGCTTAAACTAATCAGGGATATGTTGGGGTAAGTTTAACTTAAAAAATGTTTAGGAATTAGAGTTTGGTTTTAGCAAAACTGTTTGTTCAAGATGGATTTTAACATTTTTGATACCTATAAGTTAAAATAACATCAGTACCTGCTCAGTTTGTGATTTTTGAAGCATGAAACGAAAAGAAAAAAATARCCGTCAGTCCGTTTTCTTCCACTTACCCGGGTAAGGGTCGAGGGGGCAGCAGCAGCCTAAGCAGAGTGACCCAGACTTCCCTCTCCCCAGCCATTTGGGCCAGCTTGTTAATAGCTTATTATTAATCGTTATACAGATTATACAATTTAAAACAACTGTTTATTTCCCTYATTTAAAAAAAGAAAAACTATAGTCTACAAGTTGAAACATAGTTCTGCTAYAGGACCAGACTCTGTTTTCCAAAATAACGCTGGAGTGAAGAATGGAATGGATGCGTTGTGGCTGTGTATGGTTCTTCCACATGCCACAGAGACCCACATTCGTTAAAAGAGTAAATGTTAAATTGCTAACATGTCTTGTTTCTTTAGACTTTAATCATCCAATCAAATAAAAGACACCAAAGAGTCAAAAATAGAATAAGCAGTTTGGCAATATTTTCATAGTACATAACAAATGTGGCACAATTTAAGGAAACATAAAATATTTTCAGTATATATTGTTAAAAATCATTGTAACAAAGAACTAATCAAATATATACTGTTGCTTTTGTGATAGTCACTAGAACTACCAGCATTTTCAAACAATTCCTTTTTCTACCAGAGAYTGCCAAATGGCAGTGCTGGGATAATTTGCAACCCATCAGGCCACTTGTTGTTTTGTACATGCAGCCACTCCCAGGTAATGCTAAACAGGGGTGGTGGGTGATATAGTGTGAACGATGTTGATCCGACTCAGATGGAAAAGAAAAAACCCTTGATTTTAACCCATCCTGACATGTAAACATTGCTCAAAAAATAATATTTGATCTTAATTTGGTCTTATTGACTTGTCAAGAAAAAAAAATTGCCAATGGGATGAGATATTTTGACTTAAAACAAGACAAAATGTCCTGATAAGATTATTTTACTTAGGTTAGAAGGGTTGAAAACTACTGAAAACCATCAAAAACCATGAGAAAACATGTAAAATGGGTGTATGAGGGCCGAAAAGCAGTCAAAACCTCTCCTCCTTCTCCCTTTCCTACTTCTTTTTCTCCCTGAGTGTCTGAACCTGACACTACGTCGTCTTTCCAGGACCAGGCTGGGGACGTGGCTTTTTCATCATGGCCTTTTAACGCTGTCGAAATTCTAGTGCAAGGCCATGTATAAAGTCTCTTCTGCTCTCTTTCCAATTTTTTTTACTGTAGCTCTGAAAAGACAGTGGCATCCGTTTATGTTCTTTGCAACACACCACATCTTCAGAGCAAAAACTTGTAAACAGGAGCCCTTGAGAAACAGAGTGAGACTATCGGGCGTGGTGGATGTGTCTGGATTAGCTGCAGGCAGAGTTRCTTCTTTCAAATGTAATGACCTCATTTACATAACACTGGAGGCAAGAAGGGCTATTCACATCTGCCATATGGCAGTTCCCTGGGATTTAAAGGTATAACTGCCAAATGGCAGAGGTCTGGTCACATTCTGAACATACATTGACAATGTCTGTTTTCCACAGCCGAAGTCAAAGATTTCGGCTTCCCGCAAGCTCTCCCTCAAAGTAAGCTATAATATTTCAGTCTTTTATTCAGCCGAGGGCTTTCCAACGATACAAACTATCCATATCTGACTGCGACCTKTTTTTAATCAGATGTTGCTCCTCCAAAAAGCTTGTGAGGACCTGGAGAAGGAGAGGCAGGAGCGAGAGGAGGAGAAAGTTCGTTACCTGGGGGAGAAGCTGCCCCCTCTGCAGCTGTCTGGTTTGTCACTGGATGAGCTACAAGTAAGGCTTGTTGAGGAGGATTTTTCTTGTGAAACAGCAGAAATGATGTTGACTCTTTTCAAAAATGTGTCTTTTTAGAAACTGTGCAAACAGCTGCATGAGAAAATTGACATAGTGGACGAGGAGAGATACGACTGTGAGCATAAGGTGATCAAGCACAACAAAGATGTAAGTCTCATTTTGGCACATCCTGCTTGTTTAAAACAAATACATTATTGGTTTAATTAAAACTTGAACCAGGTGCAACTATCTTTTATAAGGTTTAAAATGTAGTAAAAAGGCTGTTTTGTACCTTTTAGATTCATGAGCTGAAGCTGAAAGTACAGGACCTTGGCGGGAAGTTCAAAAAGCCCGCGCTAAGGAAGGTGAGGGTATCTGCAGATGAGATGATGAGAGCTCTTCTGGGCTCCAAACACAAGGGCTCCATGGACCTGAGGGCCAATCTTAAATCTGTGAAGAAGGAAGACGTCAAACAGGACAAGGTACTAAATCCAGCATCTCGTGTATTTTCTMGTGTGGTTGTTTAAAACTATTTTCAGAGACCAGAAACTGTGGCTACTGTAGCAAAATCTAATTTCTTTCTTCCTTTTTTTGTTATTGTTGTTCCAGGTGCTCACCTCTGAAGTGGGCGACTGGCGTAAGAACGTGGAGGCCATGTCAGGCATGGAGGGCCGCAAGAAGATGTTTGAYACAGGCGGTGGAGCACAGTGAGAAGCTGCAGTCAGAGAAAAGGATCATCTAAAAGCTGGAAATCATTTTTTTATTTCTAACAAATAAGAAAGAACACTTAGCTGGAGGATGCCTGATATTTAGTTATTTTAACTGGAGTGACTCAAAGCATCTTAAGCCAGGCATGTCCAACTCCAGTCCTCAAGGGCCGGTCTTCTGCAAGTTTTAAATTTGTCCCTGCTTCAACACAGCTGATTCAAATAGATGATTTACCTTCTCAGTTTGCCATCAAGGTCTGCAGAGGCCCACTAATTAAGCACTCCTTAGATTCAGCTTTGTTGAACCAGGGCAGCACCTAAAACATGAAGGACACTGGCCCTTGAGGACCAACTTTGGACACCACAGATCTAAAGCTTTGGATTAGTGAAAACCGCTCATTTTTTCAATATTTTGTTTTGTTATGAAACCTTCAGACAAACGATGAATAAACTGATACTGTTTCCATTTTTGATGTTTCAGATCTGTGTTTGACTTTATCATGTTTCACAAAGGGGGGATGGTGAGGAGCTTAGGTGATGCTGAATTAAAAAAAGAAAGGTGAAAAGGCAGGGGCGGCTGAGGGGACAACAGGTGCTCCACTTGAATCACATCCCACAATGTTTAAATAGATCCATGTGACGTGGCTAAGACCATAAACTAAACTGAACGATAAACAAGTACAAAAAAAGAAAGTTATAGTAATCATGGTGGAAATCTTAGACTTTGTCATGTTTTTCCTTCATTCTTTCTTCTAAAACTAAAGGCGTACAAAACATCACAAATGGCTGACATCGTCACCCTAATCATTCCCCTGCTTCCTTCATGTGTCACTGTTTTGTCTGGCTGCTAACACTGTCATTTGAAGTATGACACTAACAATAACGCAGTGTTCTCAGAGAAACCAGCGTCAGAAGGCTTATTACATGCTTTTATGGACTGCTCATGGAAAAAATTTTACAAAATGTCTGCGTCAAAGCAGCTGACACAAATGTCTCCAGCACATCTATTAAAAGATGTGATCACTCAATATGTGTGACAGCAGAAAGACAAAGTCCAAACACTGTGTGGAAGATGGACAAAACGTCAACACGCAGGAAGGAGGCTGTGCAAAAATRAAAAATAAAAAAAAGAAAGAAAAAAGTCAACATGAATTTTGTTTTGGATCCATGTAAAACTGTTAGCCACTAACATAAAAGGATGTAATTGAACAGGGTGTTAAAGTGTTAGTACCACTAGATGGCAGCAAATAGCTACAATAGAACTGTCAAGAATAAACTTCAGTAGTTTAATATAGCAGTGCATACTTGACTCCTATAAAAATAAGCTGGATTGAAGTAACAAAATAATATTGATGCAGATTTGTGAAAGCAAGATTCAGAACTGTCAACATTTGGAGCTGAAGTCCTTCAGAGCTGATCTGAAAACCTGAATCTTCCAGAGAAGCAGCTCAAAGTTCAGTGGATGAGTTCTGAGGAGGTTCTGATCTCCTGAGTGAAGCAGAYCCTGAAGTTCAGATGAGAGTAAAGAAGCCTGATGTGTTCAGGCCTCAGTCTTCTCAGCTCTGATGTTTCAGGACCTCCTGAGCCTCTGAAGTGACTCAGACGAAGGTTTTTCCTCCCAAACTTATAGTCMTCGGACAGTCGAGTCGTCCCAACGTCCAAACGTCCAAAAACAAGAGACAAGTTTTAAAAAGTCAACAATGTCATTAGAAGAAAGTGTGGCGCAGCCATAAGAAGACTGGCTACTACTGTAATCTAAAGGTTGCAGGTTCAATCCCAGGAGGTGTCTTACTGCCTTTAGCTTTAATAAGGGTAAAAATCTTAACTAAACCCAAGAGGGAGCAGGACTTGAACCAGCAACCTGCTGAGCTCCAGTCTCTTTCCTATCCCTCTGAGCCATCACTCAATACAAAGTGTGATGTTCTCTGAGTCCATTTATCTTTTATATTTTAATATGTTTTGTGGTCAAAAAGGACTTAGAAAAATTGGAGACAAACTTGAAGGTTGAGCCTTCGTCAGCAGCTCAGGACTGACTGTAGACATTCAGCTCGGAGGATCCTGAGCGTAGACTTTCTGCTCAGAGAGCTCATCAGGTCTTAGAGGCTCTCTCATCCAGATCTAGAGGACATGAAGCCCTTCAGTCCTTAAAGTCCACCAGCATGTTGAACCTCTGACATCTCAACATGCATCCAACTAAACTGCAGGTTTCAGTCAAACAGCTTCAACTTTTCTCTGAAATGTGAAACGTCACTCCTTCCTTCATTGCACATTGACTAAATTTAATTCTATTAATACATTTTAAATACAACAAATTATGAATTACTCTAAATAAAAATAAAATAAACTCTTTTTTACATATTTTATTAACACCAATTAAACATTAAACAAAACTCAGGAATTGTTTTTAATTGTTGTTCCAGTAAAAACAAAATGTTCACCTTTTTTTGTCAAATTAAACTGTTGAAAAACTTGAATTTACTGTATAAAAATAAATCCAATCACGTCTGAGAAACATCCAGAAAATTCAGATTTAAAATCATCATGCTGGTAAACCTGTGTCATTAAAGGGATAATTCTGGTTTAGCTCTTTGAGCGACATTAGTTTAAAGAAAAAACAGTTTCATGAGCTTACAGCAGGGCCAAGAGAAAAGTGGATTAAAACTTCAATCTCTAAAATTTCTCAGTTTATTCCAACACAACTCCACCCGTTATGTGCTTTGGTCTATTTGTTGCTGTGGTCACACAAGCTAGTGTCAGAAATGAACAGTAGAATCTTACCTACAACATGTACTCTCTTTAATAATTTAAGACTGCTTAAGATCCTCCGCATTATCATTTTATCAATAAGTATTCAATAGTGTTTAATGTTGCTAAGGTATTAAGGTGTTTCATGCAAATTTTATCTCCTTGAAAAAAGACAAAGCAGCCATGTCATCTACGGATTTGCATCATCCACCTCTTTTTCCTCCTGGATTTTCCATAATAGCTCCGAGTAATCTGCAGTAGTCGCTCACCGCCTTTTATCTCATCTCATTATTGATCTTCCTCAACCAGCCGGGAGAGAGAGGGGGCTGACGGGTATTGGCTTTGGACACTAAAGCTTGCCAGAGGTCAACGAGATGCAACCATTAAAGAGCCTCTTTGCTTTAATCAGGTGGAGGCTTTCAAAGAGGCAATGAAAAAAAAAAAAGAGACGGGAGTTTGTGCTTCTGTTCATCTTTTAGCTTTATTAAAATGTTTTCCGTTTGATACACAGCCTTAGTATATTTTAAGAAAGTCGTTAACGTGTGGCTACCCTAAAGTGGAGCCTTGAAGGAGAAAAATGCCTGAAAGCCGCAGCACCAAACATCCCGTGAGCTACTGTTTCACTTTTAAAGGCTTAGAGATTTGCTTTAAATCTCCTCAGTGTTTCACAAACCTCAGAATATAATGAATGAATAAAACTGCTGACTGAACAGAAGGGACAAACTTTGGGCTTTTCTGTGCCTTCATCTCCTCCCTTACCTGTCTGCTCCTCTTTTATCTTCRTCTTCTCTGTGACGCATTGGAGAGGAATCAATACCGAATAATTGATTTGACCAGAACTTAACTTGACTCCACGGTTTTATGGGAAGAAGCTGCAGTATTTTTTAGCTTTGCTTTGCATCTGAGCAGTTCAAAGATGGAGCATACAAGTGTTTGGCTTCAAACCCCTCTTTCCTCTRCCAGAAGGCAAAGATGGATGATAATGTATTTGCCCAAGTCGGTTACCTCTGTATTTCATGAACCACTGAATGAATTTTAATGAAACTTGCAGAAACTAATTATTGGTACATTTTTTTGGTTTGTTTTTTACATTTTATTTTATTTCTATTTCTCTTGAAAAACACCAGATCTTTGCAAACTATTAGTATTTATAAGCTTTAAAATGTACCAAACTAAACTTACCTSTTGGAAACATTAAGTAAACATAAATTAAAATAACATAAATTTGTGTTTGTCTGCAGCTCTTTTTACCCAAACCCAGCTGGTCGAAGCAGATGGAGGTTCGTCCTGATCCTGGCTCTGCTGGTAGTTTTGTTAAAAATGAGTTTTTCCTTTCCACTGTTGCCAATTTGTTAATCAGAATGAGAGACTGATGATGTGAGTATTCAAGGCTTTTTTTGTACAGTGCACTGAGATGTTTGTTGTGACTTGGTGCTATATACGTAAATAAACTGAATTGAATTAAAACTGTGTGAATGCTGAGCAAAAAAGTTGCAACTTTT